AGTGCCCACAGCCCCTGCCCCCACCCCGCCCCCCAGCCCCAGTGCCCGCAGCCCCAGCGCTCACAGTCCCAAGCCCAGCTCCAGCCCCCCAGCTCCAGAGCCCACAGACCCAGTGACCACAGCCCCTGCCCCCCAGCCCCAGTGCTCACAGCCCCCAGGCCCAGCTCCAGCCCCAGGGCCTGCAGCCCCCCAGACCCAACGCCCACAGGTCCCCCCAAGTCCCAGCACCTGCCCCCAGGCTCCCAGCCCCAGCAGCAGCCTGCGGCCATCCCACAAGGTGCCCTGGGGAAGCCGGGGTGCGAAGCCGGGCCGGGGAATCAACGCGTCTAGGAAGGCAGCAGAACTCCTCGGGGGCCCAGCAACGTTAGCTGGGGCGTGCGGCCCGGGAGCCAGGCTGCTGCCAGGGGGTCCCGGGGAGCAGGCAGAGGCACGACAGAAAAGAGCCTGCTGGCACGTGACTCCCGTAGCCCACGTGCCTCGCCCCCCTCCCTGCTCGGCTCGCAGCCCGGGGGGGAGCTGGGCCGGGGACGGAGCCTCGGCCGCTCACCGGTGGCGTTGGGTGGGCACTTGTTGTAGATGATCTCGCCAGCGGCCGTCTTCTTCCAGGTCATCAGCAGGACGTACTCATCCTTGCACATTTCGTGGTAGGCTGCCAAGGGAACGCGAGGGTGAGACGGGCCCCCGGACGGCTGCTCTGCACGGATGGGCCACTAGAATGGTGGGGGGGCGGGTGCTGGGCGGGACTAGCAGGCGTGTGGCAGATCAGCTGGGGTGGAGGGAGGACTGGCTTGTGTCAGGCAGACTGGCTTGAGAGAGGGAGCTGGACGGACGGCGGGAGGGTGGAAGGACAGATGGAAGGAATGGAGGAGGGTGGGTGGAATGGTGGACGGAGGGACAGTGGGCGGGTGGAAGGACGAACGGACAGATGGATGTAGGGACAGCAGGTGGGTGGAAGGATGGACGGACAGACAGAGAGACAGCAGGTGGGTGGAAGGATGGACGGACAGACAGAGAGACAGCAGGCGGGTGGAAGGACGGACAGACGGACAAACGGATGGAGATACAGCGGGCGGGTGGAAGGACAGATGGACAGACGGATGGAGGGATAGCGGGCAGGTGGAAGGACGGACAGGCAGACAGAGAGACAGCGGGTGGGTGGAAG